AATAAATAAAATACTAAATCGAATTAAACTTTTTTCAGTGAATTAAGTTGTCCAGCAAAACTAAAAATTGTGTTGTCTTCAACTAATTTTGAACAAGTAGTTTGAACAAGCAGCAAAAATAATTTTCCACTTGAATATTCTGAAGCTTCAGCATTCCCAGGCCCTTCCTTCCTTTTCATGTAGCCAGTATTAGTGACACAGATAAACTTGTCTTCAGGAGTTCATCAGCTAAGCCATCAGAAAGAAAGGTTTTAAGCTTTAAGCCTGCAGTTTGAGTTGTGTCTGATGTCACGTCTCATGATAAAGTGCCTGTGCGTGACTGCAGAACTCAACTCAACGCCCTGTGGCCATTCCTCCTGCTCGTCTGTTTCCTCCACAGCTCTGAGCACAGAAGATAAGCCAGTCTCAAGCACACACCTTTTTTCCAATCTGCGCATAGTTGTGGCAAAACTTAACTGAAATCTGAGCTGTTCCCTTGTCTATATTAGTTTATATATAGCAGTCGCTACACCACAGTTGGCGCTTCTTTTTATATTGTAATTTTGGCCAATCGGAAAGACGCAAGAATTGATTTAAAATTAATCATCTGACTCAGAAATGTGTCAAGTCTTTCCAGTTTCTAGGAGGATTAGGTCATCAGCAGTTCATTCTAATATGTATTAGAATGACTTCCTTGACAAGGCATCCAGTCATGCTAAATGCTATGTTAAAAGCACACAACTTCATAATTGTCCAACACTGTAAAACCAAGTAATTTAAGGTAACTCAAACCATTTGAGGAAAGCAACGCAACAAACCATTTAAATTCAAAAACTAATCTAAATGAGTACAGTAAACTTAATCCATTTGAGTAAAAGAAGCAATTTGAGCACATTAAAAACCAATAAATGAAGAGAACTTAGTACACTAAAACTCAGTCAGTTAAGGCAACTCAAACCGTTTGAGGAAACCGACGGCTATACAAACCATGAGTTAAAAAAATAAAAAAACTAATCTATACGGTACTGTGAACTTACTCCATTTAAGTTGAGTTTAAAAAAAATAATCTCTATGAGTACTGTGAACTTACTCCATTAGGTTTAAGTTAAGTTACTCATTGCCTTCAACACACAGTTCAAAACTCTTTTCAAATGAGTAGAAACCAGTTTCAGTAAATTTTGAGTAAACTACACTCATTTCATTTGATAAAGCTGACTGTTGGGTTTTACAGTGCATGAACCCTCTTTTATCCAAGCTCAAAACGTCTAAGCTGTAAATAAACAAATTAGACTATTAATAGTCCCAATGTTGTGCATGAAGAGTGTGTACTACACAACTTTTGTTATAAAACAGTTTGTTATAGGCATATAGGTTATAAATTGCACTCTGTGTGCATATCTTTTAATTTACCATCTTAAAATGCTGATTTACAGCGGCAAGCCTTACCTTTTACATTTGTGCTTACCTTTTTTTGTAAAGAAGAAGAAGAACAGCTGCAGCTATTTTTAATTTAGATGTAAGAGGTTTCCGGCTTCATCCATTCACTCAAAAAAAAAAGTTTGCCTTTTATTTAAACAACTTATTTAAAATAAGCTGAAATAAGCAACACTATCTTAAGACAATTCCTAACTTTTTGATTTAGTTGCTAGTTCGCATAGATATATACACTAGATATCGGATACGGACCACATTCATACTGCCGCCAGATTTGTACAGTGCTCCCAGCACAAATGTCATTCAACCGCACTAGACTAAAGCCAATGTGAAGATGCTGGACTTTAGCTCTGCATGTATGCGGGTGTAGTAATGAGCAAACAACGCACAAAGGCAAAACATTTCACAGAAAAGATTTTTATTTATTTTTTTATTTTTTTTAACTTAAACAAGACGTGTTAAACAAGAATTGATGATAGCCTATTGACCATAAGGCAAAGCACCAAAATCGCACTAAAATGATAAGCTTAGGCTAGTTTTGTTGAATGAAGTCTTGTATAGGCTATATGTAATAAAGTAAAAAGAAAATAATGTAAATGAAATATGACATCAAGATGCTGCGGTGCCAGAAACTTGTATTATTGTCGTCTATTATTGTGAACGATTCGTGAATAACCGAGGTTAATTTACAAACGACTGGTTTGCGTTGCAGGTTTAAAAAATAAAAAAACTTTGCTATTCTGTGATGTTAGATGAATCGAAAGTGTTGACTATTTACAAGACTTCCGAGTCGGAAAATAAGATGGATACGGGTCTTTTGATCCCTATAAGTTCTCTCACAGGCCAACAGGCCGTCAATGTGACACAACTCTACATATAAAACAGGTAAAAATGACAATGTACAGCTTTTCAATTATCAGGAAACACCTGGACCACAGAAAAGCGTTGCGTGCGTGCGTTTGTCTCTGTGTGTGTTTTAGGGCCTGTCTCGGCATGGTCTTGGTCTTTGATGTAGTAGAAAGGCCTGAGGGTCCCGAATCTGTTCAGAGGGTGACAAAAGTCCATGTTAATTAAACGAAAATAGATTAAATTAAATACATTTAATTTACAAATCAATTAATATTGTATTTAATTACAATACAAAAGACGCAAGGACTTAATATGAAAATCTAATAGAAATAATAATAGAAAATCAATCTAAACTACACTGTAAAAAATCCTGTTTGCCTTAATTTTTAAGATGATTAAAATTAACCTTATGAGTCCATTAAACTTGTAAGGTGACTTAAAACAGCTTGCCGTACTCATAAAATTAAATTAGAACATGATTAAGTTTAATAAGTAAATATGACCTAAAATATATGCTATGAAAACTAATTGATCATATCATATTTTACAGTGTGGGATACGTGGTTCCAAACAAGTAAATAAAAAAAAACAATAACTTTTTGTGCTCAAGCGTAAGCTCAAAAATCAAGTTTATAAATATGAATCATGCAAACGAAAAAACATAAAATTCCCCATAATCTCGCCGACTGCTCTTTGCATGCATGCATGATTGTTCCCATTTACGTTTTATACGTTTTGTTTCACTGATGGTTGTTCATTTTTCAATCATATGAGAATATGATAATAAGAATTATATGAATATAAAGTAATTCATTAACCTATCTGTTAAATTTTTTATCAAAACTAAGGCGTCACTGCCGTTTTTAAAAACATTTGCGGCAAATTAAATAACAATTATATTATGAAAAAACATTAATTAAAAATACATTAATTTTGCATTATAATACTCGATTTGTGCGTAGAAATATACTTGCAGAAAAGCTTATGCATTTATTTACTAAGAAAATTAACTGGCACGAAAATAAACAATAGGCAAGTTTGAAATACTCCAATAGCATATCTTACGGTTTAAAAAACAAAAGCAACAACAACAACAACAAGAAAAAACGTAAACTATAACAATTTAAAAAAAAATAATATTTTGATGACAAAATTTTTTCGGCTGTTTTGAAATGTGGAAACAAATAATAGGCTATTTTAGGCTATTTGCGGACAAATGCTTTCATTGCTTTCAAGTGCTGATTAACAACTGTGCTTTGTCTATGAATGTTATGTATATACAATTTAATCTTAATTTCTTCTTTTTAATAGCCTATTTGAACTTAAGTCAGGAGGCTCAGTAATGCTGATAAGTGATCTGACGTGTCGTGATCAGTGCAGAAGCGCGCGCGCTGTCCGTGGTACTGAACGCTCGAGATGCCGCTGCTCTCTTTCGCTGAGCTTTGTTTTTACAAGAATTCAGTCATTATTAATCCATCTTAATATTTTACGTTTACATTCGCATTTGTTAGTTACATTGGTATAATTAGGGTTTGATGTTGATTTTAGTTTATGTGTCAAATAAACTTTCAAAGATTCTGTATACAGCGAAATGGATTTAAATTGTAAAAACCAAAAAGTATTTATCGAATTTTTAAGATGACTCACTCGACATTAAATTAGATATTCACGTTTTGATGATGATAATGATGATTATTATTTTTGTTGTTGTTGTTGTTGTTGTTGTTGTTGTTTTTGCTTCTTTGCTAAAACGGATGGTGAGAATGATATGCTTTCACACCAAATATAATGACAGTTAGTCTTAGTTTACCGAAGGAAAAATAAATATAGAATTTATATATGCAAATCTGATCTAATTTTCAGACAGTAATTCTAAATAGACCAATGCATTCATAATTTAAACAAGAAGAAGTAATCTTACATTGCTTACATTTACATTTGTTAAACCATATTATGAAATTCCAAACAAGCTAGCCTATATCATTGGAAGCAGAAATAACTTATTATTAATAATGACTTTATTTAGGTTCTCATATTCCTTGTATTCATTTTAATCTTGTGCAATTTGGAAATGAGGTCCTCCTAGTGGCAACAGGTGGGAAAAAAATCCTTTATAAAAATATCTTGCATTGCATTTTCCCAGTACGCCAGCATCACGCTCTTAAAACAGACAGCATTAGCTATTGTATTCATGCATAAGCACAATTCTGAAATTGAAAACACGAAAAAATGAACACAGAGCCACGTTTATTTTAAAACGACTGTTTTGCATCATCCTTTATTTGAAGCTAACACAATTTTAACACTATTTTTAGCATATATACAAAAAAGGTCAGTAGGTAGGTTAATATCGTTTTATCACAAGTGCGCCAACAAAAGTAAAAAGCACCGAAAGAAATTAGAATATATTTGCCAAGAGATCTTCTAAAATATATATATATAGAAATATATACAGCTGAAGCATTCAAAGAGAGAGAGAAAGTAATTTGATATATAATATGGATATGAATAATGTATAATTTTTGTATTTTTATTTAATTATAGGCTATATTTTTTACTACAACCGCTATGTTTTATTAGGCTATGTGTGTTCTTTTTTATGTAAACTTTAGAAATGCTTTGGCGATACAATAAAGCGAGAGAGAGAGAGAGAGAGAGAGAGAGAGAGAGAGAGAGAGAGAGAGAGAGAGAGAGAGAGAGAGTGCAAAGGAGGAGACTCAGTGATGCTATTCAGTTGTAGATAAATTCTTGTAAAGCTCATTTCAACCTTATCAGACCATCCCACCGAGACTATATAATTTCACGAGCCCGACAGAAACTCCACAAAGCGTTGGCCACCCGAACTCTGAAACTCTGATGCTCAGCTGGTCCATTGATACCCAAATGTGAATCTGCATTGATTTCCGAGACGTGCAAATATATACATGATGGATGTCCTGCTGGCTCTGAGAGACCTCCTTCAGCTGTCAACACGGAGTGTGTTGCTGTCGCTGATGGTGTGTTTAATGCTCATGTTCCGGCGTCGGCAGCTGGTACCGGGTCCGTTCTCGTGGCCGGTCATCGGCAACGCCGCTCAGCTCGGTAACACTCCTCACTTTTACTTCAGCCGAATGGCTCAGAAATACGGCGACGTGTTTCAGATCAAACTGGGCAGCAGAAATGTGGTGGTTCTAAACGGAGACGCGATCAAAGAGGCGCTCGTTAAAAAAGCGACCGATTTTGCAGGCAGACCCGACTTTGCTTCATTCCGGTTCGTGTCTAACGGGAAAAGCATGGCTTTCGGTAACTACACCCCTTGGTGGAAACTGCACCGGAAAGTCGCGCAGAGCACCGTCAGAAATTTCTCCACAGCCAACATCCAAACCAAGCAGACATTCGAGAAGCACATCGTAAGCGAGATCGGAGAGCTCATCCGTCTTTTTCTCAATAAATCCCGCGAGCAGCAGTTTTTCCAGCCGCACCGGTATTTAGTGGTGTCGGTGGCGAACACGATGAGCGCCGTGTGCTTTGGGAACCGGTACGCGTACGATGACGCGGAGTTCCAGCAGGTGGTGGGCAGAAACGACCAGTTCACCAAAACAGTCGGAGCCGGGAGCATGGTGGATGTGATGCCCTGGATGCAGTACTTCCCAAACCCCATTAGAACCCTCTTTGACCAGTTTAAAGAGCTTAACAAGGAGTTTTGCGCGTTCATTGAATTGAAAGTTTCGGAGCACCGAAAGACCATTTCACCGAGCCACGTCCGTGATATGACTGATGCCTTCATCGTCGCTCTGGACAAGGGGCTGTCCGGGGGCTCGGGGGTCTCTCTGGATAAGGAGTTTGTGCCACCGACCATCTCAGATATTTTCGGGGCCAGTCAAGACACTCTGTCTACAGCTCTCCAGTGGATCATCCTGCTACTTGTCAGGTAAATAACATATTATATAAAACATTACATTTACAATTAAATTTAGCCCTATATGAAGTATACTTATTGAAAATCAATCGGTTTAACACACAAATATTAATACTAATATTTACTAAGTAAACATTGAGTAGTCATCATAATGTTGGTTAAATTCAGAACAAACAGAATGTTTTTTTTTAATTATTAACTTTAAATTACAATTTTTAACCCAACGGGTGTGCCCATTTGACCCAACGGTAGGCTATATTACGGCAATCAAACATTTTAATGTTTGATAAAATCAAAATGCTATAGCCTATTATTTATAATTCTGGTTGAATAACTGGCTATTGTAGTCCTATAACAGACTCGTATAAACTTTAAGTTGAAAACCTAAACTTTAAAAAAATTAAAACTTGCAGGAGGACAAATTTAGCTCTCTGGAATAGGCTAATAGACTTATGTTGCTTTTTTTTTATTTGATACTAAATCAACACGCAAAAGAGGGACAATAATACATCTTAAATCCTTTAACATTGCACAGAAAAACAATATCTAAAATCAATGTTTCTGGAATGACAAAGCTGTCATGAAAGCACTGTTTGGTTGCATTTTGCTGAACTGAGCTGCATGTAAAGTGCGCAGTGCGGAAACTAAGATAGTCCGCAAGAGACGGACAGATCTGAAAAGCACCAAACAGCTCTCGTGCGTTATATAACTCTTCCGTGCAGGTACTGGCAGCAAATAATGAGGGCAGGTTACAGCAACATGAAATGAAACCTGACCCACTAACACTTTTAAACATGTAGGCCACTCTGTGAAACTCAGCACGTAATGACAACTTCATGCAGGATACTAATACAGAAAAAAACTATTCGCAAATACGGTTCTATTAAAAAAAAAAAAAAAAACATTTCATTAAAACTTTCCACGAAGAAATGCACAAAACCTGCACTCCCAAAAACGCGGTTTCGACGCGACAAAAAGATTCTTACCAAAAATGGCCTTAAATAATTTACACTGATAAAAGTATGCCAAAGAATCAACTGAGAAAATATTTTTTTTCTCTCGTAATATTAAGAACACTGATTAAAATAATTAATTTAAAATAATTAAAAAAACAAAAAACTTTTCAGCTATAAATAACTTTTTGTATGGGAAAAAAATCTAAGATTGATAAAGTTTTTTCTTGAAATCACCAATTTACAATTTGGAACTAAAAGTGTAAAACCTTTCATTGCTCAAAAAGTTCAAATGCAAGGTTCCAAATAATCTAAAGAAAACTTTTCCATGTTACAAACATTTTTGGGGAATGGAAAGGGATGTTAAATTTCCTGAAGGAAACATTGATGCCATCAATTATTTAAAAATACATTTGTGGCAAAGGCAGTGCTGTTTCCTGGAGGACCCTCAAAACATTTTGCACATTTTCTTTTTATCTGACACCCATTTCTAGTCTTGCAGTCTCTAACTATAAGTCTTGTGGCCTTAATTATTTTTTGAACAAGTAAGCTTACAAAAATGAGCTCCAGGAATTCACTGGCATCATTGTGAAAACCACATTTTAGAATATTGACTTTTAAGAATGCAGCCATGTTTTATTCATGAACAGAAATGATAATGAATCTCCAGCCAAACATTCTTTACCCCCTTAAAATTTACTAGAACTTCAGTGTTGAGCTGCACTGACACAATGTACACCACCTGACAAAAGTCTTGTCGTTGATCCCAGTTGAAAGAGCAACAAATAGTATCTTGACTTCTAGTTGATCATTTGGAAAAGGGGCAGAAGATAGATTTTACCAATCATATGTTGAGCTGCATCCCAATCATCAGAAATACTGCAGAAGACCTATTGGAACCTGCATGGACCCAAGATTCTCACAGAAATCAGTCAAGTTTGGTGAAGGAAAAAATTGGGGTTACATACAGTATGGGTGCATGCAAGAGATCGGCAAAGTGGATGGCAACATCATCAGCCTTAGTTATCAAGACATTTGTGCTGCCCATTACATTACAAACCAAAGGAGAGGGCAAATTCTTCAGCAAGATAGCACTCCTCATACTTCCGCCTCCACATCTAAGTTCCTGAAAGCAAAGAAGATCAAAGTGCTAGGCCAGCCTAGTTACCAGATATGAACACTATTGAGCATGTCTGATGAAAGAGGAGGTATTGAAGATGAATCCAAAGTATCTTGATGAACTCCTGCAGGAGTGCTTTCCTTGCGATTCCAGATGACTTTATTAATAAGTTATTTCAGTCAATGCAGAGATGTATGGATGCAGTCCTCCAAGCTCATGGGAGTTATACACAATATCAATTCTTTTTCAACTGCACCATGACTTTTCTTTACTGTACATTATTTCTGTTCAGTGACAAGACTTTTGTCTAAGCAAAGTCAGACCTTACTGTCCTAATTAAATAATTATAAATCAAGTCATGATCATATTTTATTTTGGTAAAATAAGTGTAATATAACGGCCTTTGCCTGTCATATAAGTCACTTCTAAAACCAAATGATCAACTAGAAGTCAAGTTATTATTTGTTTTTCCTAAACCTACTCGGGTAGTGTACAATCTACATTGATTATAAAGATGAATTGAATTAAAATGAAAGATTGTAAAAAAGGAGAACCACTTAAAGAGGAAGAACTTTTCAGTAAAGAGTTATTTAAAAAACCATGTTGTTAATAGAACCATGCCAGAATCTCTATTTAAAATAGTGCATAGTAAACTCGTGCAATAGAAAGTTGAAACATCTTTAAAAAAAAGATCTTTACTTACATTGCAGGTATCCAGAAATCCAGAAGCGTCTCCAGGAGGACGTGGACAGGGTAGTGGATCGCAGTCGTCTTCCAACCATCGCAGACCAGCCTCATCTTCCATACTTGATGGCCTTCATTTATGAAGTCATGCGATTTACTTCATTCACCCCTTTGACGATTCCCCACAGCACGACCAAAGACACATCCATCAACGGTTACCCCATTCCCAAAGACACAGTCATTTTTGTCAACCAATGGTCTTTGAATCACGACCCAACAAAATGGGATCAACCTGAGGTGTTCAACCCACAGCGCTTTCTAGATGAGGACGGATCCCTCAACAAAGACCTGACCACCAACGTGCTCATCTTCTCACTCGGCAAGCGAAGATGCATTGGAGAAGACGTGTCAAAAATACAGCTTTTCCTCTTCACGTCTGTGCTGGTCCATCAGTGTAGTTTTAAAGCTGAAAGCACTCCTAATATGGACTACGAATACGGGCTTACACTCAAACCCAAACCTTTTAAAGTGTCTGTCACAGCTCGCGACAGCTCAGACCTGCTGGACAGCTTGGTAGGAACATCTCAGACTCCAACAGAAAAGAGACAGAAATGTGATTGAAGTGAAATCAACGCACAGGACTTTGCCAAATGAAGGCGGCTAAGAAAACAAACACTGAAGAATATGTCACATCTACTCGTATCACTGTATTTATAAATGTCATGCTCAGGCAAAAACGTTTTCTAGCTCTGTTTGAGCTGCAGAAACAAAAACACACTCATTCATTACTGTAACTACGTGATGCACTGATTTTCGCTATATCACGGGAAGCAAAACTACAGAAAAGGACTTTGTGTGCTGGTTTACTTTACTCAGACGAATACAAGCTTCAATGTTTGACGTTAATGAGTTCTGACAGATTTACATGCATAGCGTTTATTCAGTCAAGAAATCTGTGGTTGTATCCGAAATGGCTCTCATAAACCCTTAAAGAGTGCACCATTTGTATTGGTGTCCGAAACCATAGTGGACGTTCTGTAGTGCACTCAATCAATCCCAGAATGCACCTCAATAGCAAATCCACAACTGATGGCCACACAGTAGCCGCGTTTCCACTGTCGGGCCAGTGCTAGCTAGGAATTTTATCGGGCAGGAGATTGAGCAGTGAGGCTGAAATCATGCGGCGTTTTCACTATCAGGCTAATAGCTCGCAGTGCAGCACGTACACCCCGCCCCCAGAACGCCTCGAAAAAATAATAATAATAAAATAAAAAAAAATTAAAAATTCGCACAACCCGCCCAGTTCAGCAGGAAGATTAAGAAGTCAAATCAGAAGCAGGCAGATAAAACAGACCACCATCACCATCACCACGAAGCGATTAAAATGGAGACAAACAAAACGAACAAACTACATGTTAGCATTACATTTTATTTGCATAGGCCTTTGTATTTTCATTTAATATAATTCGTTTACTCACAGACAGACTGTAGGCATCATTTCGAGGAGTCTCGCTACAAATGGAGGGATATGTCAGCGCACCATTAGAAATATAAAACCACAGAATATCTCCGGTATTAATTCTGTGTAAAACGTAGGCTATTTTGCTACAAATGACTAGCATTGGTCTCCAACTCAATTCCTGGAGAGCCGCAGCTCCAACCCTAATCAAACACAGCTGATCCAACTGATCAATGTGTTCAAGAATAGTTCTGAACACCTTGATTATTTAGATCAACTGTGTTTGAATAGATTTAAAGCTAAACTGTGCAGAGCTGCGGCCCTCCAGTAATTCAGTTTGAGACCACTGGGCTTGAGACTACTCATAACGCACTGTGAGATTTTCAGTGCCGAATGACTTACCATGTGGCACCACCAGATGGCATCCACAGCAGAATTCTAAAGTTTCTGAAGAAAATTAAATGTTAAATTAGCAATTGCATACATGACAGCAATCAAAATACTTTGTTTCATTACTAACTGACAGCTTGCTAGGAGTTCGATAACTATCACAGGATCTGACCAAAATCGTATTAAAAATCTGATCCATCTAAGAGATTTATTAACCAGCAAAGCATAAAAGTCAACCCATTCGTTTTCATACATTCATTTACGTGGACTTATGTTGCAAGGTTATAATAGTTTTGGAATTTTCTTTAATTTTGTTTTGACTTTTTGTTTTCAAATTCATTTAGTTTTAAATAGTTTTTAGAGGCAGATTTACTAATTATTATTATTAGTTTCTATATTTTGAAATTGCTTAGTTTTAGTTTAGTTTTTATTAGTTCCAGTATTAGTTTTAGTTGTATATTTGTTAGGTGCAAGATTCAAAATATTCAGAATAACTATTGTATAATATAAACTCAACCATATGTTTTTTGAAAGGACACATGGTCACTGATGTTATCATCTACCACTACTATCTACTCATCCTCAAATTCAAATACAACAGCCCACAAGATTGCAGCCTTGAGCAAAATATACCATAACTCAACATACCAAATCTATGTAGTCCCAATCTTAATTTCAGTGGGCTAAAACATTACCATGATCTGAAAGGTTTCTTACAATTACATTTTGCAACCCAATGGTAGCACGATTCACTTAATTCACGCTTGATTCAAATTTCATTACGATTTTTTGTTATGAAATAAACTTGAGTTTCGCCACATCCTTTCATTTAGGCCCTCAGTTTACCCTCGCTGCAGTTGTTCAAGATTTGTTCAGTCACAGCAGGCTGTCATGTTCTACTGTTTGTGTTCAGTTCACTGAATCACGCATGCGCAGTTATCGGTTCATTGCTTCTCAAATCCAATCCCAGTCTACTGTTCTAATAACTGTATAACTCAGTATACATTGGTTTATTTCGAGTCAGAGGGGGGGTATCGGGCATGTTAAAAAGTAGTAGTTTGTGGATAAGAGTGCTAACTGGAGATGTGAACCATTTCAAATGATTCAGTTTGATTTGGTGAACTAGTTCTATGCATCTTCACTTAAAAGATCCGGTTAAAAAGATTCGTTCACAATCATGATAACTAATATGGAAATAAAACCAATTATTGGGCACATATGTGTTAAAGTAATCATTTTAATTATGATTACAGACTCTGAGGTGTCGTACGGGTCAAACAGGGCAGCGCAAAGTAAACAGATTTACTTCTAAAAAGGCATGCAGTAAGATTATGTATTAAACATATTTATAAAGACGAAAACGAAGGACGTTTTTGCTATAATTTTAGTTAGTTTCAGTTAGTTTTGTATGTACACTACAGTTTCAGTAAGTTCTAGTTTAAAAAAAAATCATTTTTATTTTTATTTCAGTTAATGAAAATGATTTTTAAGTTTAGTCTTTTCATTCGTTTTCGTTAACTATAATAACCTTGTTATGTAGGGAATGAGAATATAGGGGGTGATTTCGGATACAGCCTGTATGTTACCAAATAGCAATTCTACAGTAGCTAGACGACACATATTTAGAGCGTTCACACTTGTGATTTTTTCTTATGGTCATTTGGTTCAGACCAAAACCAAAATGATGCATTTAACCCTCGTTCACACAGAACTGTTAGGACTGACACGAAAGTTACAAGTTTTTCTCAACCTGCTTGTTTGGATTCAGTGAGGAGTTTAACAAGCCAATGTGAAACACTGTTTGCAATAAATTCTTTGAAAGTGATTTCAATTATATTGCGATCACTTGTTTTATGTGCAGTTATGATTGTAGTTTACACTAACATAAAAAAAAAAAACTTTAAACAATATTAACGGATAGTTGACCCCCAAAAATGAAAATGTACTCATTCTGTTATTAATTTTCCTTCAGCTTATTTATGAGGGTTCGCAGAATGAACCACCAAATATTCCAGCATATGTTTATGCAGCGGCTGCCCTTCTAGCCACAACCCAGTGCACATGCCACACATTTCAAGAGGAACACTCTTGTACTTTTTAAGGTACTAATATGTACCCTAGAGGTATTAATTTGGACCTTTTAGGTACAAATTTGTACCTTTCGAAAAGGTACCACCCCAGTGAAGCTCGCGTACCTTTATTTCTGAGAGTGCACTATGGCCAATTTAGTTAATCCAATTCACCTATAGAGCATGTCTTTAGACTGTGGGGGAAACCGGAGCACCTGGAGAAAACCCACGCAAACATGGGGAGAACATGCTAACTCCACACAGTAATGTCAACTGGCACAGCTGGGGCTCAAACCAGCGACCATCTTGTTTTGAGGTGACAGTGCTAACTACTGAGCCACCGTGCCGGCCCCTACTCATTCTCAAAAAGTTTGAGTTTCTTTATTCTGCTGAACACCAAAGGGGATATTTTGAACAATGTTGTAAGCAACTTACATCCATAGTAGAAACAAACTAATACTATGGAAGTCAATGGCTACTTATTTCAACATATCTGTGTTCAACAGGTGATAGAAACTTAACCAGGTTTTTGAAAAATGAAGGATCCATAAATAATTCTCATTTTTTGGGGTGAACTAGCCATTAAGAACTGCTCTGCTATATTTTAAATGACTGCATTTTGCTAAAAGTACGTTTTTGCCTAGTGTCCTTTAGCTCAAACCAGCCCTATGCTGCATTATTAATGTCACTATGTAATGGTCATATAATGAGAAATTTGTACAGTATGATCTTACAGCACTTTATTGTTCTTCTTAATCACCGTGCTCTTTGATACCATTTCCTGATTCTCACCATGGCATTGTTGAAGTCTGTGCCTTGTTATTATGGACTTATTAGCATTAATCTATAATTAACTAATAAACGCAAGAAGGCAACCTCCATTGTGTTCCTGCAACCTACTTCCTAATGAAATACTGTCTCACAGTGGAATCTCACAGTGGGTCACAGGAAGAGAAACTATTCTGGACATCTATCCAAGTCTATTTTAAGTTGAATGTGATATTTCATTTCTGGCGCATGATCGTGTGGTCAGAAAGGAAATGTATTTTGTGTCCCTCGGGTCCTTTTCAGTTAGGGGATTCCTGAAGGGAAATTTCAGGGTTTGTTAATTAACATGAATAGTATGTGTTATGGTAATTGATTTGCTTGTTTCTATATATATATATATATATATATATATATATATATATATAACAGATTCAGGAAATTTTCACAGAATGTCTGATAATGATTTTTCTTCTGGAGAAAGTCTTTTTTGTTTTATTTCGGCTAGAATAAAAACAGTTTACGTTTCTTTTTAACACCATTTTAAGGTCAAAATTATTAGCCCCATTAAGCAAATTTTTTTTCTCGATAATCTACAGTACAAACCATTGTTATACAATAGCTTGGCTAATTACCCTAATCTGCCTAGTTACCCAAATTAACCTAGTTAAGCCTTTAAATGTCACTTTAAGCTGTATAGAAGTGTCTTGAAAAATATCTAGTCAAATAGTATTTACTGTCATCATGGAAAAGATAAATCAGTTATTAAAAATCAGTTATTAAAACTATTATGTTTAGAAATGTGTTACATTTTTTCTCTCCATTAAACAGAAATTGGGGGGAAAAATAAACAGGAGGGCTAATAATTCTGACTTCAACTATATATACTGTATATATATATATATATATATATATATATATATATATATATATATATATATATATATATATATATATATATATATATATATGAATGAACTATTATAGCACTGTATGATCTGCTGTAATACACTGTTGTTTATTGGCTGCTGAAATGTATTAGACATGCTATGTATTTTATGTGCAAAAGATTATTTGTAAGCTTGTAACAAAATCCAAAATTGCTTATGTTTTTCTACTTCATAACTGCTCAGATATATGACTACTCTGTGTATATATATATATAAAAAAACAAAAAAACAATAAATTCTACAATTACTAAACCTTTAACAGTATTGTTTATATTATACATACATACATACATACTGTACATACATACATGATAGATAGATAGATAGATAGATAGATAGATAGATAGATAGATAGATAGATAGATAGATAGATAGATAGATAGATAGATAGATAGATAGAGTGCTCAGTGTGTACATCAAATCTTGAAAATAAATATTGTTATCCATTTCTCAGTGAATATGGGTAATATATATATTGTTGCATATGAACAAAAAACAGTTTTTTTGCTTGTCTTTTTCTCTTTTTTTAAAATTTGTAATAAATTTTTTTCTATAACATAAATTTTAGCTGTACTGGTTTTTGGACGCTATCGTGAGTTATTTTGTTGGATAAGCTACAGATTTGGCTTCAGTACAGACTTATCTAATGTATATGCACAATTATAATATTTTATAGCTTCCTATTAAAAATATGAATTTAAAGATAGATTTGTGAGGGGTGTACTTATATATGCTAAGCATAGATAGATGATAGATAGATAGATAGATAGATAGATAGATAGATAGATAGATAGATAGATAGATAGATAGATAGATAGATAGATAGATAGATAGATAGATAGATAGATAGATAAAAAACGGCTTTATTAAACAGTTATATTATTTAAAATAAGAGTTTTTTCCGAACATCATTAAGAATAGAAATATGTAAATAAATTAAAATGAGGTATTGCAAAAAAATAAAAAATAAATAAATAAATGCAAAGTACAAAATATCAATAAACTTTTATATTTTTATGGATTAAATATAATACAATATCTTTTTTTCCAAACATATTAATTTAGGTGTACTATTTTTTGGACCGTAATTTAAGTTATTTTATTAATTTAGGCCTAGTTTTTGGAGATCTGAGTGGGGTACTCACATGTACATTCATACATATATTCTGTACAAGCATAAACACATACACTCAACCGGCCACTTTATTAGGTACACATAGCTAGGACCGGTTTGGATCCGCTTTTGCCTTCAGAACTGCCTTAACCCTTTGTGACATAGACTCAAAAATGTACTGGAAATATTCCTCAGAGATTTTAGTCCATATTGACATGACAGGATCATGCAGTTGCTGCAGATTGGTAGGCTGCACATCCATGACGCCAATCTCCCGTTCCACCTCATCCCAAAGGTGCTCCATTGGATTGAGCTCTGGTGACTGTGGAGGCCATTTGAGTACAGTGAACTCATTGCCATGTTCAAGAATCCAGTCTGAGATGATTTGCGCCTTATGACATGGTGCTCTATCCTGCTGGAAGTAGCCATCAGAAGATCATAGATCTGGTCATAAAGGGATGAACAAGGTCAGCAACAATACTTAGGTAGGCTGTGGCGTTGACATGATGCTCAATTAGTACTAATGGGCCAAAAGTGTGTCAAGAAAATATCCCCAACACCATTACCCCACCAGCCTGAACCGCTGATAGAAGGCAGGATGAATCCATGCTTTCATGTGGTTGACACCAAATTTTGACCCTACCATCCAAGTGTGGCAGCAGAAACTGAGACTCATCAGACCAGACCAGTTTCCAATCTTCTATTGTCCAATTTTGGTGAGCCTGTGCGAATTGTAGCCTGAGTTTCCTATTCTTAGCTGACAGGAGTGACACCAGGTGTGGTCTTCTGCTGCTGTAGCCCATCTGCCTCAAGGACCTGTTGTGAGTTCAGAGATGCTCTTCTGCTTACCTCGGTTGTAACAAGTGGTTATTTGAGTTACTGTTGCCTTTCTATCAGCTTACACATTCACTGACATTTGGTAAAATAGTGACAGATAAAAACACCATTGCATTATTGGCAAGAAGACACTCAGCAAGCAGACAGGGCATTTAAACAGAAGCAAAGTGTGTAGGATATTCCCTTCCCTGCAAAGTGCTTAATCTCGCTTTCCCAGCACATCCTGTTCTGACCAAGCCTGAGGTTTGTAGCCATTCGAGCTCAGAGTGCGTGACAAGTGCAGATAAAACCAGCTGATTATTGATACCAACAGCGGCCGGCTCCCCATCCAGACCCTGCAGAAGAAAAGAAAATACGCTTCACTACTGGAAAACCAACAGTCAGACTGCAACAGAACCAAATAAAAGACATGAGAGTCAGATGAGAAAACTAGCAGTACAAAATAAAGGCAACGATACAATACAATGCAGAATGTTTAAAAGACTTTTTACTTTCTTAATGCAATGTAATGTTTTTAGCATATTTAGTATTACTGAGGAACTATAGTTTAAATTAGATTATTTCAAATGTTCAACTTTTAGTATTGTGATGTTGTCATCTATATTCCTCTTGTTTTCATATCTACTGTACATAGATGGGTGTGATTTTGCCAAATTTGCACAGAACAGAATGTCACACACCTTTCAGCTTTAAAAATAAAGAATTAGTCTGCTCCAAATATCCTACATTTCTTATTTCTAATTACTTTCTTCTAAAATGTATAAAAGGATCATACATTAGATTTATCTGTAACGTCTACACGTACATTAACATCCATGTGGATCCTAGAACATCATTACTGTTCGAAAATGTAATCCATATCTAAACCCTAACCTCTAAACCTAACTGTAAATCATTCCCAAAATCAGTGAAGATTAATAGATGGATAACAACGATGTAGTAGAAGCACATAACCATAAGTGTAAGCTTAAACTTAACAAACTGTAAACCTGTAAAACTGATTGGCTGAATGGAATGTTGCTCCAGGAACAACATAATCACACTAAGCATCCTCCACTACTATATTAAAAAAATCTATTTGTTTAGTAATCAAATTATATTTTCAAGAGCCACTTTATTAGGTATACCTTGTTAGTAATGAATTGATCCTATTTTGCCTTCGGAAGTGCCTTATTTTGACAGAGATTATGGTCTGTGAGATGATAGCATCATGCAGTTGAGGAAGATTTGTCGACTAAACATGTACACATGTATGATGCCAATCTCCCATTCCAGTGCTCTGCTGGATTGAGATCTGCTGACTGTGGAGCCATTTGAGAAGTGAACTGTCACATTTAAGAAACCAGTTTGAGATTATCTGACCTTAGTGACATGGCCTGATATCCTGCTGGAGATGACCATCATTAAATGAATATACTGTGCTCATCCATCCATCCATCCATTCATCCATCCATCCATCCATCCACCCATCCATCTATCTATCTATCTTTCAGTTTGCAACATCAGGCAGTATAACAAGCTGTTTTTAACATCTAAAAAGAAATGAAAGTGAACGATACAGGAACTCTCAAGCCTAAAACATTTCAAAAGCTGCATCTGTTCATACATGAAGAATAAGGTCAATACAAATAAAAACATTACACCACCAATGTTTTTCAACCTCAACTGTTAATACAAGGCAGGCAGGGTACAAGCTTACCTATTTTTACACCAAATTCTGAAAGTTGTGGCAGAAATCAAAGCTCAGATCAGGCAACCTTTTCCCCCAATCATCTACTGTTTGGTCTCGCTGCTCTTCTGAACCAGTCTGAAAATATCTTTTCTGTAGAATGTCTTATTTGTTTTATTTCAGCTAGAATAAAAGCAGTTTTAAGTTTTTTAAAAGCCATTTCAAGGACGAAATTATTAGCCCCTTTAACCTATTTTTTTCGATAGTCTACAGAACAAACCATCATTATATAATACCTTGCCTAAAAAAAATCTCTCCATTAAACAGAAATTGGGGGGTAAAATAAACAGGGGGCTAATAATTCAGGGGGTCTAAGAATTCTGAATTGAACTGTATATACTGTAAATGTCCAAAATCAAACAAAAAGTGCTACAGGGGTAATTAATGTGTTGGTGCTCTTTGGGTAAGGGATACAAAAATAAACAGCAAAATAATAAATCAGGGTCTGATGAAAGCAAGTGTTTGGTAAAACGCATTGGTGTAGTTTTAATGGAATAGCCATGTTAATAAAGGCTTTTCAAATAATTTCTTACTTTTTTTCGAGTGCCTTGGAGTTATAACTTTGAAAAATATTGATACTTCACTCGCATTACTGAATGAAAGTTCAATACTTAGCATGGATGCGAAAGAAGTAGCCAATCATGCTTTAAAGCCATGAGGTTTTTGTGTTTAAAATGTAATTGGAGTTTAAGCAACAACAGTAATGTTAACGATCACTTCAGAATTTGTTGCTGATTTGACATATTTAGTTTAATTGCAAGTTTAGCGAGTGGTTTTCGAAAATTTCAGGATTCCCCCATTCATTCAGATCGGTTTTTGGTCTTAGGTGAACTGCCCGGGGGCGTTGCAAATATGGTCGCAGAGTAAAAAGATTTGTCTTGTAATGGACTTTGGTTTCATTACTATAATAACTTAAGCCACATGGCTATCCTGCTCCATTGTAAGATTTATTCTGAGTTAGAGATTGCCAAGCAAAACTGGACCAATCAGCTGTCAGTAAAGTGGCATACATATTTCTGATGTCATAAAGCCACTCCTAGTTACTGTTAATCTTCCTGATATGAATAAAAGTCCCTGGGAAATCAAATATACATTTTTTTTAGGTGTTATTATCAATATATTTTCTTATATTTAGGCAAATCCTCAGTTTGAGCAGTTTTGATGTGAATAAATAACAGATTTCAACATGGGTATTTCAGATTTGAAGGGAGCGGATGTATCAAATACGAGAGAGCATTTGATTGGTCAAAGGATTTTAAGATGACATCAAAAATAAAAAATAAAATCTGTGATTCATTTAGCCGAAAGTGATAAACCTAAAGATTTGATTGTTTATATCTTCAAAACACTAATTTTGTCACTGCTTCGAAGCCCACTAGATTAAAGATTAGCTCTAGAATAACTTATTGATACTAACTTTTCATTTGATTTCGCAAAGACTTTATAAGTTGCCTACTACTTGAACTTTCGTTGCATCAACTGTTCATTTCTGCTTTGCAAACACATTTAAATTTACATTTCAGATACAGAAGTAACTTCTCTGTTTTACATAAAACCTCTATTGTACATAAACGTCAACATTCACTTTTTGCATGCTCTCTGTTCTACAACTCTTGAAGAGACCTCCGTGAATCCAGTCCATGGCCTTCAGGTATTATTCCTGTGCTGTATGCGAGAGAAGAACAGACTTACAGTAAATCAGGTAATGAGAAACTGTGAGAGGGTTTTCAGTTCCTGAGGATTAACCGTTGTCCTGTTATATGATACTTCCATACAGATAAGTGTTAAAATGGACAATACAAAAGAAGCAGAGGATACTTTATGAAGAGTTTACCTTTCTTATCTTCATCAAGGATGCACTCAGTTGCCAGTAAAGATGTTTATAAAATTACAGAAATGCTCTCCTTTACCTAAACAGTTGGAAAATTATGTCATTTACTTCCCCTTTACTTGTTTTAAACCTATACGAGTGCTTTTCTTCTGCTGAACACAAAAGAATGTAGTGTGGAGAAAGCTGTAACCATTGACTTTTTCATTTAAGTCAATTGTTACAGGTTTCCAGCTTTCTTACAAATCTTTTTTTGTGTCCAATAGATAAAGGAAACTCATAAAGGTTTGAAAATACGAGTAAATAATTCTTAAATGTTCCTTTTTGAGTGAATTATCCTGTTAATATGAACGTTTCTTGAATACTTGGTTTTAAAAAATTATAGAAATATATTAAATGTTAAAATAGTCAAACAGAAAACATAAAATAACATTTCACTATTTTCACTACTTTACTGTGTTGTTGATTGAATAAATGCAAGTTTAAAAACATCTTACCAATTCAAACAAATACACAAAGTATACCCACATTTCGTACTTCTTTCAGTTTTCTGCTGCTGATGAGTAGATTCATCTCCAGCAGATCTTAAAGCTCAATTCTTTTATTCCATTATCATCCTTTAAAATTCAACTCAGTTAATAGAACAAGATCACTGTGCTTTATTTTGTTCTACATGTTATTATTAGCATTCGTGTAATTGTTATAGTATTGTGTCATTACTGCCTTGTAAATCTATAATGTTGCCTTTAGGAACTGGGTCTCAATTGACTTACCTGGTTAAATAAAGGTTGTTATTACAACCAGGATTCTGAAAAAGTTGGGACACTGTGGAAAATGCAAATAAAAAAGTAGTGATTTCCAAATTTACTTTGATTTGTATTTCATTGCAGACAATGTAAAAACAATTGTCATTCAGACCTGCAACTCATTCCAAAAAAGTTGGGACAGGATCCGTTTAGGGCTGGTAATCAGGTAAATTGGTTAGTAAATGATTTGATTTTAAACAGGTGAGGTCAACAGGTGATTGTAATTTTGATTTGGTAAAGAAGCAGCATCCAAGACAGGTTTAGTCCTTTGGGAGCAAAGACGGGCTGATGATTGCCAGTTTGCCAACAAATACATGAGAAAATAACTGAAATGTTCAACAACAATGTTCCTCAAAATAAGACAGAAAGACATTTGGATATTTCACCTTCGACATTGCATAACATCATTAAAAGATTCAAAGAATCTGGAGGAATTTCAGTGCGTAAAGGACAAGAGGGCAAGCCTAAGCTGAACAACCGTGATTTTTGATCCATCAAGCGGCACTGCATAAAGAATCGTCATTCATTCAAAAGTGAAATCAGCACATGGGCTCCAGACTACTATAGCAAACTATTGTCAAGTACCACTAATGTGGTAACATCCACAAATATCAGTTAAAACTGTACTATGTCGAAAGGAAGCCCTATGTTAACAGTGTCCAGAAGCGCCATTGACTTCTCTGGGCTCGGAGGTATCTGGATTGGATCATCAAACAATGGAAACATGTACTGTGGGCAGACAAATGTATTTCAGGTCTGTTTTGAAAGAAATGGATGCCATGTGCTCCAGACCAAATAAGAAAAGAATCCTCCAGCCTGTTTCCAGCAAAAGCCAGGGTCTGTCATGGTATGGGGTTGTGTCAGTGCAATTGGAAAATGTAACTTACACTTCTGTAATGGTACCATTAATTTTGAAAAAGTACATAAAGATTTTAGAGCACGATATCCTGCCTTCTTTTCCAGGGACCCCCATGCATATATTAACTAGAAAATGCAAATTCTGCACACATTACACAATCCTGGATGAAGAGGAAGAAGATGCAGAAGATAATTGACTGGCCTGCCTGCAGTCCTGACCTGTATCCAATAGAGAATGTATGGCAAATTTTGAAGAGCAAAATGCGACAACAAAGACTCCGTACCGTTACCCACCTTAAGACTTGTTTGCAGGAAGAATGGAACAAAATTACACCTGAAACACTTCATCATTAAGTGTCTTCAGTCCCTAAGTGAAGTTTTTCAAACTAATTTCGAGAGGAGCACGTGACATGATTGACTGCAGCTGGCCACCCATCTACATTCATTAGTTAGCCAATCAGATCTATCCTAAGTCACTATAAGTAGCCTAGCTAGATTTACTACCTTATTTTTGTTTTCCTAAGAAACCCCCCATCCACACCTTTCTCCTCCTTTACTATTGGGGAGCTCTCGAGAACCACCTGATCTCGTACTCCCTTCACATGCGCTATGGACCTGGCGGGAGCCCTAGGCTCAACTATCTCCGAGCTCAGGGTTCTCTCCCGGGACAGCATGCCAAACGTGCTAACAGTTGTCAAACAATATCTAAGTGTGACCTCTTGAAACCTCCTTTAGGGGTTGTGAAAAGTATGGCAACATCACAAAGTGGTAAGTGCTTTACTGTTCCAACTTTTTTTTTAAATGTGTTACCAGAACCAAAATTTCATATGCATTTATTTTGAAGAAAAAAATAAATAAATAAAAATAAAACAATCACGATGAACACATTAAATAATGTTTGTTGTATTTTCTGCAATGAAATACAGGTCAAAGTACATTTAGAAACCACTACTTGTTTTTTTGCGTTTTCCTTACTGTCCCATTTTTTCTAATTTATTTTTTTATTTGGGGTTGTATTATTAATATAAAAGATGTGAAATTTAAACATCAATAAAATGGCAAACAGTCAAACACATATGTTTATAAATTAAGCTTGCTTAAGTTACCTTGTTATACGATGCCAGTCCAAATACAGACGTGTCAGTACAGCAGAGATCTTCCCTGCAGAAGACTTTCATTAGCTGTGCTTCTGATGTAAAGGCAGATGTCCAGACATGAAAGGTTATTTCTGTTTACATCTGACTGGAGTTGAGTCAGTAACAGTGCCCTGTAATATCACACTACCCTCAACACCTGAAAAGCAGCCCTTTTCTTCATGTTTTCCTGGCATTCCCAATGATGGCAGCTCTGTGGACAAGAGTGTACAGGTAAAATACTGACTGAAAACCTGTTGCATTTAACATAATTGCACAGACAAACATTCAACATTTCAAACAAATTGGCAAATACAAACCCATTATCAAAGGTTTTGGGCTGACAAAATTAAATAAACAAATGTTTTGGACAGAAATGGTTAAGCTCCTGATCATTATGATCATTCATTTAACTCACTTTTAACCCAATGCTTCCAAAGCTAAAACAAAAATGAGAGCAAATTCTCACCTTGTTTGGTGCCCTTCTCAGTTCTAGAGTAGTAAAACATAATTAAATGAATGAATGAATGAATGAATGAATGAACAAATAAATGACAAAATCAGACGTGAAATGCGATTAGAGCTTGAACTTTCATTGGCAAAAACTCTTAGTCCACACATAAACATTTCTTTGGTCAATTAAACATCTGTTTAGTTTCCCTAAAGAACAAATTAAATGTAACGTTAGGTTACTAACTTTAAGTTTTTACCATATTAGCACTAAAACGTTTAATGATATGTTTACTAGAAAGTTGAATCCTTTCTCAATGTCACGCTTCATGACGTCTAAAGCAGGGGTGTCCAAACTCGGTCCTCGGTCCGGTGTCCTGCAGAGTTTAGTTCCAACCCTAATCAAACACACCTGAACCAGCTAATCAAGCTCTCAATAGATATACTAGAAAATTCCTGGCAGGTGCGCTGAAGCAAGTTGGAGCTAAACTCAGCAGGACACCGGCCCTCCAGGACCGAGTTTGGACACCCCTGGAAAGGTTACGAGCAATACTTAAAATAGAGTTGTAGATATTTTTAAATCCCCTTACTGTCATCTAGAATAATCTGCTGTTTGTTTTGCCATCTTCAGTAGTGTAGTTATTCTAATCTACTGTGAAAGACAAGTCGGGTTTAATATTGTCACCTTGTGGACAAACACAGTAGTGCAAAAATTATCAAAACGTGCGCAAATTCTATGATTAATGGAGGAACCAGGCTTTTCAAAAATCACCACAAATCTTCATTCCCCCTTTAGTCTATTAAAAAAGTCCACTTTAAAAAAAAAAAAAAAAAAGAATTAAAACATGAAAGCCAGAGAGTGAATTCAGACACTGAGTGCAGAAGCGCTGCCGCTTTTGCATTTGTTTGCCGTTCAAAAATCATTCGGTACTTGTCCCAACTTAGAGCTCTAATAGAAATTCTCCAGTAGAAATTAAAATATTTATCTTAACTCATGTAATGATGTCGATTTTATGCTGTAAGATCTTTAAATGGAGGAAGATATAGTTACTAGGACTTGTCACTATGTCAAAACGGCAAAACAATGACTAATTTTCGAAAGGGATTTATAACCAACAACAAAACGTAAACAAACGAAAACACATCCTCAGCTTCAATTCTGTATACTTTTGATATGTATATTTCATCTGGCTATCGAAGCAAAGAGGTTCAAATATACAGATTTTAACGTGAATTTTAAGTGTCTAAAATGTAGTTAAAATATACACAGCCCAAAACCCTGAAAAAGCTGAAAAAACTACTTAAACCAGCCTGGTTTTAGAGGAGTTTTGGCAATTCCAGGCTCGTTTCCAGTCTTGTCTAAACTGGTCAGGATAAGAGGTCACCAGGTAAAACCAGCCTAACCAAAACCAGCTATGTCCAGCTTAAACCAGGCTGGTCAAGCTAGTTTTAGCTGGTCTTTTTACAGCCTGACCAGCCCGGAAATGGCCAAAAAACCTCTAAAACAAGGCTGGATTAAGCTGTTTATTTTTTATTTTTATTTTTTTGTAGGGTTAGCATTAGCATTTATCTCATGTTAACATCTTATACATTAAGCTGCCGAGTAAAAAGATGTTCAGATGTGTAAAGTTTAACATAAAAACAACAAATCAACTAAACGTTAACGCATAAAACAATAATGTGAATTGATAGACAAAAAAAACATAGTTAATGTGTTGTTTGCCGATTAAAATTCATGAAATTCATTCAGTATAAGAATCATGAAGTAGCAATACAATTAACCAAATGATTTCACTTCAGAATTCTTCTTATTTAATATTATAATGAGCAGCATTGATAAGGTTATGAATTTCATAAACATCCTTACAATGTTAGCGTTCTATGCAGATACCAAATAATCTACAATGTACCATATACAGAGAGTGCAATACTGTATGTAAACATACAACATTATTACATTCATTATGTTGGATGATAATATACAGACAAAAATAAAAACGTCTGGCCCCCAAAATCTCTCTGACAGAGCTTTAGCAGTCATCTTTGGTCAAAATAAAAATGTAAATAATGTAGATTCATTAAAATGTACACAAGCAATCTAACTGAATCATATACAGTAATACAGATTACACCAATAGAAACTTTTGATTGAAGCCCATGCAACCAAAAGGTTTAGAATACAAGAGGTTTCACACCTCAGATTTGTAATATCCACAGCTTTAATACCGAATTCTTCCAAGGAAGTTTTGTTAGGATGTGATCCACAAGCAGAACTTTAATAGTCATGCTGTGTTTGGACTAAAGTTTATAAAACAATCTAATAGTTTCATACAGCATCACTAACATTTAACTAGCCACCGTCACAGAATACAGGCCATTTTAAAGCCTGTTGGAAGAAATCTGTACTGCAATTTAACTCTTCTTTTACCTTAGCCTTTGTACAAAATATAAAACACAATAATTTTTTTTATAATGTAGCTTTTTTGTTGTTGAAGATATTACTAATCATTTAAAAATCAATTCAAAGAGCAGCCATTGATAGTCCAGCCCGATCTCACAAGAAAACATAACTATTTTATGAATTGTCAAAGAAAATGGCTAATTTGTACAAATTTCATTGGTAGGAAAAATAAATGATTTAAAAGGAAGCATGTCCTCCAAACCCCACCCCTAAACCCAACTCTCATTGAGGGACAAGCAAAACATACTAAAATGTATGAATGTGATTGTACAAAATAGGAATTAGCCACTAAATTAAAGTTATGAATTGCTGTGAGATTGTGTTGGATGCTGAGATGTTGTCAATATGTGACAAATGTTGTGTATTGCAAGTATTTCCAGGGAAAAAAAATAAGAAAAATAAAAAATAAAGGTTTGCTTAACATACAGTATTTAGTATAGAAGTTTGTTCCTGCTTTGCAATTCAAAATGTGAAACGTTTTATTTCACAATTCAGACTTTACCTTCTTTCAGAATTCTCAGTTTACATTTCACAGTACTGATTCTCTATGCACACATGCATAAAATTACACAAGCTTTAAATAAAACAAGTGTAAAAGTATGAGGAAAAAAAAGGCAAAAATATTTGATGTAAATTGCTTATTATTGCAAGGAAAATGTATAACAAAGGTTGTAGCATTACAAAATTATTTTATTAATTGTATTACTAGTTTTAGGATGATAAGAACAAGTCTAAAATTATATAAATATGAATGACAAAAAATAGACACTACCGGTCAAAAGTTTGGGGTCAGTTAGTTTTCATGCTTTTTTTTTTTTTTAAAAGAAAATTAATCTGTGCATCAAGGTGGCATTTATTAAATGTAAATAAAAATATACACTTATTTATTAAATATTTATTTATCACTTATTGCATGTATTTTCAAATAAAATTCAAGTCCAGTCATTACTGATTCTATTAGTATTAGCATTCATTAATTCATTTATTTGTTTGTTTTTTGGCTTAGACCCTTTATTAATCTGAGGTCGACACAGCGGAATGAACCGCCAACTTATCCAGCATATGTTTTACACAGCGGATGCCCTTTCAGCTGCAACCCATCACTGGGAAACACCCACACAGATACACTATGAACAGTTTAGCCTTTCCAATTCACCTATACCCCATGTCTTTGGACTTCAACACGAGGAGAACATGCAAAATCCACACAGAATTGCCAGGCTCGAGCGACCTTCGAACCAGCGACCTTCTTGCTGTGAGGCGATTGTGCTACCCACCGTGACACCCCTACTATTAACATAAATAACTCAAATATTAATAATAATGACAATATTATATAATATTAGAGTAATTTCCGAAGTATCATTAAGCTGAAAATTCATCATTAAACCACTGTAATAAATTATTAAGTTAAATTCTAAGTTGCCAAACACGGAATCTGTGCACGCAGAATTCCGCAGATTTTCCACAGATTTCAGCAGATTTTTAGCCTATCATTAATTCTGTTAATTTACTTGAATAAATGTGTGTAAATCTTTATTTATTCAGTTTTTAAATTAAGTAGTAATATTATTGACTAATATGAAAATATTCATCTGATTTATGTACAAAGCAGTTTGTAAAGTAATGTTTACAGTCTTTTAGTAGATATATTATATGAGAGACTTGCTTTGTTTATCAAATGAAGTGAATCTGGATTTGCATTTGAAACATTAAATAAAAATTAACAAGATTTTCACATATTAAGGTTTTAGTTATGAAACTTCCAAAATAATTCCGCAGAAATCCGCAGATTTTTACCAAAATTCTCTGCAGAAATAGCAAAAAACATCCTCAGATTCCGTCTGGCCCTAATTATAAACCACTTTTGAACAGTTATTTTGTAGTGCAATAACATTTTACAATGTGTTCTTGCCTTGGTGAGCAGGAGAAGCTTTTTTAAAAACATTTAAAAATCCTACTGACCCCAAACCTTTCACCAGTAGTGTATATAAATTCTGTGAGTCAAAATTGTGAGATTTAAACTTGGACTTTAGCATTTAAAATTGTGAAATGCAAACTCAAAATTCTGTTAAATTGCAGGAGAGAACTGTAATATAAAAAGTTGAATAATTATAACCATAACATTGTGCATAAAGTTAAACAAACTAAACACGGCTCCCTTTTAATGAAGACATAATAAACCATGTGACCCGACCACCATTAACAGTTGATATGTTGGTTTGTTGATTAACCAGTCACAGTCTAGTCGAATCCAGAAGACAACAAAACACCAAGACAGACAAATTGTGCCCCATTTTGTTGTTGACTTAAAGTGATGCTACAAGAGAGTCCAGCTCCTTCTGTGCCTCCTCATCCTTTAGAGAAAGAGCAAAAACAATTGTGTTACTACAAAGAAGACTCAAATTTCAAAGAAATGCGATTGATGTAAAGAAGAAAAAAAAAGACCTCTTTAGTCACGACGCTTATGGTAGAGGCAGCGTCACACATCTGTTGAGCAACACTCCTCTGGCCTAAGTCTTTATAACACTGACAAGAAAAGGGACAAAGGTGAAATGACAGAAAAGCAAGTTCCAGATGTCCCTGTTAGGCTTTAGTGGCTATGCTGCAATATTTATTGAGCCCCCTGTGAGAGAGCATACATGTGTTGACTATTGTATGAAAGCAAAATTATGTCGCCTTCTAAGATATCTTGAGCTCTTGAGATCTCTTGATCTAGAGATGGTAGAAGAATTTTAAAAAAATGTTCCATTTAAAACCACTGTTGAAACATTTCTTGCAATTAAAAACGTTGAAAACATTTGTGCAGCTTAATATTTTTGCATACATAGCAGAGCAAAATAAAATAAAAAGCAGCATCATTTAAAAGGTTTTTGTGTAACATTTTAATGTCTTTGTACACTTTGTCAAAAGTCCAGGCGCCTATCCAAGTTTTAGGAACAACAAATAATAACTGGACTTCTAGTTGATCATTTGGCATCAGAAGCGGCACATATGAAAGGCAAAGGCCTCTAGATTACGCTTATCTTACTAAAAAAAATATGATCATGACTTGATTTTTCATTATTTAATTAGGACAGTGAGTTCTGACTTGGCTTAGACAAAAGTCTTGTCACTTGGCAGCACACGTCTTGATACCTCAGGCTGTTAATGTTGCTATCCACTCTGCAGAATTCTCATATGCCCCAATATTGAATGTAACCCCAAACCATGATTTTACCTTCACCAAACTTGACTGATTTCTGTCAGAATCTTGGGTCCATGTGGGTTTCAATAGGTCTTCTACAGTATTTGTGATGATTGGGATGCAGTTCAACAGATGATTCATCTAAAAAATCAACCTTCTGCCACTTTTCCAAATGATCAACTAAAAGTCAAGATATTATTTGTTGCTCTTACAACTGGGATCGACGACAAGATTTTTGTCAGGTAGCACACACGCACACACAAACAAACTGACAGTGCATCAGTCAACACCAAATACTGAAATTAAGTCAATAAAAATAGTACTGAGCACATAAACATTAGAGTAAATGGTAAATCACAATAAAAATGTTAAATAGTGCTATAGCTGGGAACCATTATGTAACTGTGACAGAGTAAATAAAACATGTAAATGTATTTTTTTAAGAGTCAATATTATTATAAATGAAAATTGAGTCATCATTTGCTATATGACCAAGGTCAAGGTCAATTATTTATTAAATGATGAACAAATAAGTTGCACACTTTGAAACATTTGGATATTTTATTTTTTTACGGCAGGTCACTTTCACTACCAGTTTTAATACTAATAATACTTTATTAGTATGAATTATTAATAGTATAACAGCGACAGATCACACTATTATGTCTTTCTTTTCTTTTCCATTCCTTTAAAACCTGTTTTAACACATTTTAAACGTTTTTAATTTTTTTATTCTTTGTTGTTTTTATTTTATTACACTTGTTTCTTTTATTCCTGTTTATGTAAAGCACTTTGAATTACAATTGAAATGTGTTATATTACTAAACTTGCTTTGCCTAATAATGCTTTATTAAATATATGCTTACATATATTTAATAATGCTTTATTAGTAATGCATTATTAAATATATGATAACAACTATATATATATATATATATATATATATATATATATATATATATATATATATATATATATATATATATATTAGATATTTCTCCATTTTATTAGATAGTCCATACAGCACAAGAATAAAAGCAATGATGACCCTCTCTTCAAAATACATAATTTACCCCAAAATAAAAATGTACTCATTTACTTAAAAGATGATATTTTGAAGAGTGCCAGAAACTGCTGCCAACAGTTCCAGCATTCTTCGAAAAATTATTATTATTATTTTTTTTTTGCTTTCAACAGACAAAAAGAAACTCAAACAGGTTTGGAACAAATGGAGAGTGAAAAAATAATCACAGAATATTTATGTTTGGCTGAACAACTGCTTCAAGTCAAGGTGTTAAACCAAAAGAGTCATTACCTTAGCTAAAAACACGTAGTTAAATTTGGAGTACTTGGGACTGATCTCTTCTGCCTGTAGAATGAAACATAGGAGAGAGCAAGTAAACATCTGTCATTCACAGTCAGAACGAACTTAGTTGACCGCAGACTCTTGAGCTGTTTGTGTAACCGGATTCTTTACATTTCAGGTAGAGTTGGAGAAATGAGCTCATGAAAACACATCTCTCTTGACAGAAGGACTGCTCCTGCCAGGTAAACATCGAGTGAGAGTCCTCCAACACTTTGCGTGTTAAATGAGATATTAAACAATTACCAAGGCAGGTTGTAAACCTCCACACTATAATCAGAGCAATAAATAACGATTTTGACATTTACGAGACTTAGGCAATGACTCAATATATAAACACTGCAGTAGCCTATACTGTACCAGGGTTCACCAGGGTGCAAACGCCATTTGAAAGGCAGATTTGCATGACTTCTATATCGCTTTGAGCTGCTATTGACTGCTGGACAAGAAAATATTAAACACTCTCAAAAATAAAGGGACAAAAGTTGTCACCTGGGCAGTGTCCTTGTAAAAGTTACACTTTTGTACTAATATGTATCATTAGGTACTACTATGAAGCCTTTTTAGGTATACTGTAAAAAAAAAAAACCTGGTTTCCAAACAATTCCTTCATGTTGATTGAACATCAAAAAATGAAGTTGCCCCCCTCACCCTCACCCTCCAAAAAATAAATAAATAAATAAATAAATAAATAATAATAATAAAAAATAGGAACTGTTTTTGAATTCATTTTGAATACAAGTAGTTTGAACAAGCAGCAAAAGTCATTTTTTTGAGAGTACAAATTTCTGTAAAAAGTGATTGATTACTTGTTGCCTTAATAGCGACAAATTGACTTGAAAAAAAAAAATGAAACCAACTGTAACTTTAAACTGTTAAGTTGACTTAATTTTTAAAAATGTGCACAGTTACCTTTGAAAAGGTACTGGCAGCAGGACAGCTTTTGTTACTATATTTCCAATAGTGAAGGATATGTATTAAAGGATTAAAAATATATGTACAGACTTTAATAATAAATGTAAACTTTCATTAAACTTTAAACACAACACAATGCAATGGATGACAAAAAATAGCGGTAAAACACCAATAAAAAATATGTAAAATTATATATAGCTCAGTATATATGCAGTACAGTGCATCTGGAAAGTATTCATAGCGCTTCACTTTTTTATATTACAACCTTATTCCAAAATGGATTCAATTCATTTATTTCCTCTAAATTCTACACACAATTCCCCATAATGACAATGTTAAAAAATTTTTTTGAAATTGTTGCAAATCTTTTAAAAATAAAAAAGCTGGAAAATCACATGTACAGAAGTATTCATAGCCTTTGCTCAATACTTTGTTGATGCACCTTTGGCAGCAATAACAGCCTTAAATCTTTTTAAATATGATGCAACAAGCTT